GGTGCTAATCCACTCCGCTATCCCCGCTTGGCCCTGCTTGACCTAGATGACTGTAGGATCCAGAGGCTGTCTCTCCTCTCCAGCTTGTCTCCATTAGACACAGTGGCAGCTGTGGTAGTCGGGGAAATGCTGACGAAGTAGCAGCTCTATGGATTTAGCAACATTTTAGAGCCCTAATAGTACAGTGTCGACATGTTGTGTACTTTTTTTTTTTTTTTTTTTTTTTTATCTGAGACAACTGTGTCATAACATACAACTAACATATACTGTCTTATCTTGTATTTGTCACATGACACTATTGATTTTACTAATATTTAATATGATGACTGGTGACTTATCAGTGTTCAATGTGTGTCTTTGACAGCGAGGTCACCAGTCTTTAATGCTATGTTTGAACATGAAATGGAAGAAAGCAAGAAGGTAAGAATAGCTAATTATAATGGCTTTTTTCACAGGTCATGCTGTTCTTTCATTAATAGTTCCTTTATGAGTACCTTGTCACAACACAACCTTTGTGATGTTTCTAACGAACATTATCGCCTTGTTTCAATGGATACCTAACTGTTGCCAAGCTCTCTTGAGTAGTGTCGCCTTTTTCTGCAGAACCGCGTTGACATCAGTGACGTGGACCCGGATGTCTTTAAGGAAATGATGGGTTTCATCTATACGGGAAAAGCCCCAAACCTGGAGAAGATGGCAGACAATTTGCTGGCAGCTGCAGATAAAGTAAATACCTACATTAAGTAGAGCTGAACAGTGAATTGTTTTCAAATCAGAATCACCATTTAACAGAATGTGCTTTTTATACCGCAAAAGCTGCCATTAAAACTTTTTTTTTTTAAATGCTACAGATTCCAGACACCCTATAAGCAGGATCTTTAGAGGCATCAGGAAGTGCACACACTACTGCTAATTTATGAATTATGAATGAGTTTTAACTGAGTAGTGAACCTAAATATTTAGCAACAACCTTCTCCTTACAGATTCTTCCAACTGTTGCTCAGTTAATTGTTAAATATGTAGTGAAATGATGTAGTTCTTGTTTTTAGCAGTGTAATACATGTTGTTTTTTATTTATGTGGTTTAGTCATTAAAATGATTAGCAACTTATTGAGCCTGTAGCTTTGTGCTCTGTGCACTCAAACCCTCAAGCCATGGGCACCTGCAATGCATCCAGAATGTAACCACTGCTTTTTGTGTCCCCCCTCTCACCTGCCACCCCAGTACGCTCTGGAGCGTTTAAAGGTCATGTGTGAAGAGGCCTTGTGCAACAGCCTTTCAGTGGAGAATGTGGCTGACACCCTCATCCTAGCAGACTTGCATAGTGCCGAGCAGCTCAAAGCGCAAGCCATAGATTTTATCAACAGGCAAGTATTGCAGGAAAAAAAAAAAAAACTCCAGTGATAAATTTCTGCTGCCATTTCTGTTTACCAGCCCTGAATGCTTACCTTTTTATCTCCTTGCCATAGGTGCAGTGTCCTGAGACAGCTGGGCTGTAAAGATGGAAAGAACTGGAATAGCAAGTATGTAATTAGCTGATATATGTGACACAAGATTAATAACACAGTCTTATCTCTTTCCCCAACCAGATGCATTAGAATTCATTGTTTTAGCCCAGGCTGGCCCAGACAGAGTGCTTTTCAGTTTGAAGCTCCATATCTTTAGTTATTAATAGACTCATACCTGCATAAACACTGGAAAAGAAATATCTGTACAATTTTAAAAAGACTGGAGGTGGTTGCTGTGGAAACTTTGTATTTATTTTATTTAGATGGTGTATCTTGTTATAGGACACCTTCAAATGTTGAACTTATTTCTGTCTCTGTTGTACTCAACATGTGAATGTGTTCTAATCCTACATTAATTTCAACCTATGCACAAACAGAAACCACCTTTTTCAAGTTCACTGTGCAACTTTGCTTTGCCATTACAATCTCATTTATGTTTATTGATTTTTAATGTGCACATTCTTATGTCTTCATTTTGCCTTTGTTTACAGTCATGCTACAGATATAATGGAGACTGCAGGCTGGAAGTCAATGATCCAATCCCATCCTCACTTGGTAGCCGAGGCCTTTCGTGCCTTGGCTTCAGCACAGTGCCCGCCCTTTGGTCTTCCCAGGAAGCGTCTAAAACAGTCCTGACTGTGTGACTGTGCCCCTGGACTTTACTGGAGGTGTGAAGCATGGGTTGACAAAGGAAGAACTAGGGAGGGTACCACTTGTATTTCCACCAAAACTGAACACACTTGAATAAAGGATGGTGGAGCTTTCTGACCAGGAACATGGGGAGGCTGGCACGTGGATGACTCACATCAATTAATTGGGGAAAAAAAATTGGTTCAGTCAGTGTTGCTTGCTTGCTATGTTTCCTCAGCTGAACTCTGTTCAGCCTGGGTAGCAAGTCAAGCTGTCTGCTACTGTGTTTTTTCCAGTAATTTAAAAAAATGGCCTTAATATATCTGCCATTGCTCTGGAGCTTCCCTAGAGTACTTTGTCTAATTACTCTGTGCCTGCCTTGTCACAAAGACCGGGCCTCCTCCAGGTTGCACTAGTTCCCATGAATAGACATTTTGATATGGAGTTCTATAGGAACGTAACAAAGGGTTAACTAAATGGGAAATATTATATATTTGTAATGTTTAGCCAGTTTTGTGACTAGACATTAAAAAGCATGAACACTTTCAGTGCAAGGTCAGTTCTTTACACTTTTTAAAAAATGTGTATGCCCCATATTGATGGCACCATTTCTATGTAAATGACAGTTGAACCATCTTCAGAAGATCGGTGTACAAGAAAGTCTGTTCTATTGCGTATTCGTGGGAGAAAAAATTGCAATCTACCAATATGACGACCCAGTGTCAACCCTAATAATAGATTTAAGACAGAAGTGTGTGGTCCTTGGCCCTAATATATTAAAACATTGGAAGTATATGGAAGTATTTACTCAGTCTCCCATTTGAATGGCATATTCCAGATCATACATCTGTGACCTGTTATAGATTCAATTTTGAGATTTTTTTTTCCCTTAGTATTGCCAACATGCAAATATATATTCTCAATATATTGTGGTTACCTAAAAGTGGAGAGACAAATGCATGGTCATGTTACTGTCAAAGAAAGTGTCCAAGTACCAATTTTGTTTTTAACAATTTATTTTTTGCAATTATCTGACATATTTGTGCAGAATTAAATGAATTATGTGCAAAAAAAAAGAAGTCCTCTAACATGCTTGGATATTTGTAGGATGCTGAGCATCACTTCTACTGGCAACGTTCTTCGGTGTTTGAATGGGGGTTGTCGTGTTTATTCAGTCTGTCTTGTTTGTAGTGTGGTCAGAGGATTTAGTAAAGTGAAAGAGAAACATCATTTTTACATGATGTTACACATCATTCAGCATTTTGTTGAAATGTTGAAACTTGTTTTGGTTGCAAGCAGAAAAGATTAAGTTGTCTGTAAGAATGCCTACATTAACCCATTAAAACATTTTCCAGTAGTCTGAAGTGGACACGATTTAGTTCTTTTTAAGTGAAGATAGTCGAACTCATTGTGATGAGCGTTGGTTTGGTGACTTATTATTCACACTGTTTTTAATGGTCGTGTTAATAGATGCAGGTGTCAAGCTGAGCTGATTTTTTTTTTCCCTCTCTCCACTGGTTGACCACCAGCATGATCAGAAGAAAAAGTGCCTAAATTACTTTACCATAGTAAATGTTCAACGGTGAACCTTTCACAACACAGGAAAGACATTTTGTCCCCTTGTTTTATGTGGGAATGCTCGGCACCAACTCTAATTAAAGTGAACACAAGGCTGCTCTTTCCTGCTGGAACAGACGTCTTCATCAGCAACTTGCTGATCCTCGTCCGCCCCTCTCAGCACAGATCCTAGGGAGAAAGCCTGATATCATCTCTGTTTTAAGACGCCTCTCCAACCTTTTATCTTCCTCCTTCACTTTGCTCTACCACATGTAATGCCTAAAAGAGAAGATGCTTGCACTGGCATTTTCAGAAGTGAACATTTGTCATTGGGATTGTAGGAAATAAGGTTGTTATATAAGCAGTGGACAGTGACACTCGGTCAGAAGTTTAGATGCTTGAATATTAATATGGCCTTGGTTTAAAAGAAAAAATCCTTGTCTGTGACTAAATAGCAGTACAGGATAGTGCCCCGATTTCCCTAAAGAAGTGAGTCTTGAGACAAAATGATCTATGGTGCTTTGTGCATCCCAGCAGGTGTTTTGTAGTGAGGTCTGAAATGTTTACTAGTTTTTTCTCTGATTGTGTTGCACATGATTTTGATTGCTTTCTGGTATGAACTTTTGTTCAGAGCATTTGTGAGCAAAAAAAAACTAGATTTTTGTCTTTCCAATATAGAGTGTGTAGCAAGAAGAAACAAAACCTGACTTTTACCACTAATGATGAAGTAAGTTGGAGTGTTTTACTTAAAACTTGTCAATTGGCATTAATGTTTTAACACTACTGACATTTACTAGAAATGAATTTCTTGACAAATTTGAAAATACTGCTTTTGATTACTGGTGCTAATGATCAGGTTAAGGCGATTAGCAAAACAAATTAAAAGTAATTTATTATGTCTAATAATGAGTAATATCACCACTGAAAACCATGAAAAGTGAAATGGATATCTGAATGCATGCAGCAGGAAAGCCTGGTGTGACTTGATGCCTAAGGAGTGGGTGCCTCACCCTGATCAGATAAGAGTAATGGAAGGGAATGAAAAGACCCCTGTCCCTGATGGCCACAGCAAAATGGATGTGCTCCCTGAGGTGTACCTCGAGTATCATCCACGCCTGTGGACACAGATTTATTGCCCATTAAAAAGCTACACTGAAATGTAACTCTTAAAATGGTGTGTTTACCCTGTTGAGAAGTCCTTGTAGGAATGAAATGAGACAACTGTGAGCACCGCCAGACTGGAGCTGACTCCGAGTGACAGTATGCTGTGAGCCAAGTTCAGATAAGGTTTAATGCCATAAAAACCTAAATTGATCCTTACAGTTTCTTTTTAACAATAGTAACCCCTTTAGGAAATTCAAAATTAACATTTTGTTCTTACACTATACACACAGTAGCGCTCTACAGGGGAAACAGTTTAAACAAGATGAAGCAAGCAGGAAATGAAAATAAGTACAATCTGCAAGGATTACAAAAATGGAAATCAAAAGTCTCTAATTATAAGCAATAAATGTGACATTTATCTACATGGAATTGCTCAACAAACACCAGAAATAAGGAACAATATACCCACTGACATAATTCTCTGTAAAAATTTGAATAACTTGACATTGTTTACTGTGAAGCCATAATTAAACACGTTTAGTTTCAGATTTGCACGTTAACACAGCATTTTCACGAAGGAGCAAAACTAAAACAACATAGATCAACTCATTTAGTTTTTTCTTTATGTACATGTATAATATGACAGGATCATTTACAGCTGATAGTGACAGACACCAGATATAGCAAATAAAGGAACTGGCAAAAATAATTGGCTTGTGATTTGTCAGTGACACATGGTCTACCCTAAAACCCTGGATATGAGCTAACAACACAGTATAATGTGTTGATGGTTTTCAGCAAAACCTGTCAAACGTGTTGGTGATCGCTAAGTCAAAGCACATTATACCATTTACTATGAGACTGGATGTTATCCATTTTTATCCATGCCGAAGTTCGTCAGTTTAATCCTTCTGTACAACTGGGAAATGTCTGACATTTTCAAACTTAGCAGTCCCACTTCTCATTAAAATTCCAGACTGATTCCATACTTTTTTTTTTTTTACGCTTTTCATTTCTCCACTCTTGGTTTTAGGTAAATGAAATTTCCCAGGCTAATTAAAGCCTATTAAAGACAGGTAATGTCAGGCCTTGTGGCAGGACCATGACAAAGTGCTGATAATTGTCTGCCAGACTCACTAAATCCACCTGTCCTGCAATTATCGCTCCTTCCCCCTCGCCTCACCTGACACATTAATCCACTGAGGTGCTCACTTGGCAGGCTGATGCCTCAACGTGCATCTTGCAAACACAGATGTTGGATTTCAGGCTAGTTTAGCACATGCATACCTTTTAATGATTGTAACAGAAAACCAACACATTTTAAAGAGCAAAAAGGCAGCAGCCAAATTACGCATGGATGGGTACTTACATACGTATACATAATGATTTATGATTGTGCTCTTACTCTGCTTTTGGATTAGATTTTTTGGATCTATTTATCTATGTCTGGGGCAGAGTTACTTTCAGTCAATCCATTCACTTTATTTCAGTCCATAAAATAGAAAAATAACTGAGATAAAAGATGTACAATAAGGCTATATTAATTATTTGGAGTGACAAAATATACATTAATCAAACTAATGTGAAATAATAGACATTGTCCTGTGTTCTGTTAACAGGTACAAATGGACATTAGCTCTACTTCAAAGGCAATGAACAAATAATTTTGATTAATCAGTCAAAATGTAGTGATGATTCAAATTCGGAAAATCTAATTTTATGCCCTGTTGAATAACAATTCAGATGTCTTGGTATTTTAATTATTAACATGATCCAAAATCTTGTCATATTTCATCCCATAACTGACTGTTTAAATGAGGTGAGGAAATTGTCTGGTAATACTGGCATCAGTGCAGCACTGGCAGAGAAGCCAGTCATGCACTCCCAGCTGGGAGCTTGCTTGCCTGCAGCCTAGCCTCAGAGAAAACATCTGGACAACATAGTAATTATTCCGGTGGTTTACAGAGAACATGTGCTGTTGTGATGGGGAGGAGTCACCCAGGGTTGGTAGGTAGCTCTGAATCCCAAGTCAGCCCCAAGTCCCTACTCACCTAACTGTCTCTGGTGATCTGTGTACTTGTGCAGTGTCTACAAAAGTTTTGTAATAATACGCCAAATTCCTCCAGCGCGTGTTTCATTTTACTTTGCACCTCCTGTAAAATGTCTCAGGTATTTCGGGGACAAGGAGCTCAAAGGTTGACATTTACATTATTTAATGCGAAAACAAAAGGTAGATGCACACTACAGTAACAACAGCTAGGTTATCCTGTGGAGGAGTAAGGTGTGTCACTATGGTAGTTGTAGTCAGGGCATACCTTCTGCACCAGTTTGTAATCTACACTGTAAAAGGCTATATAGATGCATATGACTTTGAAGGGCTTGGAGCACAGCCAGGAAACGTGGCTCTGCGTCTGCTCCTGATAGCACACCTTGGATGGGTCAAAGCTGCAAAGGGCAGTCTTCTTGTTGCGGTCTGTCTTCTCGTACTCAATGCGACAGTTGAATGATTTGGTGTCTTTGGTCTCCAGGGTGGACTGCTGGGCCATCTCAAACTCCACCACCTTGGAGGGTGGCACCAGGCTGACTGACACATTCCCCAGGCCCGTGGAGTTGTGACGAAAGTAAACACTAAAAGTGCCGTTTCCGTGGTCCACAATCTTCCCTGTGATCAACAAGTTGAGTTTGACAGTCTTAATGTTGGAGTGGAAGTCCCCCCACCCGAACATCTTTTTGAACTTGCCAGTCTTGACGATGGGCCTGCGTTTAGTTCTGGCCTGTGCACCCTGAACATCTGTCTGGTTAGATAACCAGTCCCAGAAGTCCTCCATGTTCTGTAAATATGTTATTTCCCTCATGTTGCTCTTGAACTCAGGGGAGCCCCTGGCAAACAAACGCAGAGGGTTAAGGATCCGTGGACTGGCCCCTGTGGGAGAAATCTTCTGTTCGTTATGACTGTCTGCCCACTCGATGACCTCTGTGGCTCCTCCGCGCGCCTTCCTGCATGTCACCTTCAGAGGAAACAGAGCACAGGTAGACAGAAAAAGACCATTAAATGACATAAAACTTTTTAAAAAATGTAATAACACAATATATTGTAGATGCAACTCGTACTGAAATTTTTAGGCTTTGCACTTTGGAACAGTATTTAATTGATCTTTTCGATGAAAAAATCCACAGATGTGCAGTGGAAACAGATGGCAATAATACATTTGATGTTTCCAGTTTGTTCCCAAAAAATCCAAACAGCACAGTGTAGTTAACATGGGCAGTGATGCCTTTTGCACACGATGACTCTGGCAGAAAATATTAAATAAAACAAATCACAGCATTGTGCACTTATTGTCAACTTTTCTCACGGTGGCTGCCCTGTAAAAATGCCACAACAGCAGTTCAGCACTAAGGATGAAGTACAGCACTCCAGCACCGAAGAAGAAGAAAAAAAACCGCACCGTGACTGTGCAGCACCCATTTGTTGCACAACATTAAAGATTAAAGTTAAGAGTGAGATCAGGAAATACTAAAACACAGCAAAGGTGCCCTGGGAAGAGTGTGGTTTGGTAACTAAAGCTTTACAAAAAGCACTTCAAACAGACACTGCACTTCAATCAGACTTCTGAAGGAATACTCACTCTTTAGAAGTATGACATTTACCAAAAATACAAAAAGTTCAGGATGGCTTCTTGATTCTCTGGTAAAATAAAATGTATTAAAGGGATCAGGTCGCCTCCCTGAACCTTTTGACTTAAAGTAGTTCAAGCAAAATAGCCCAGATTGTCAAAAAAAAAAATCAAAGATTGTCAACTTTGGTTTTACATGCAGTAAGACCAGTTTACAACCTAAACAGCTTATGAAATATTTTCAAAACATTTTCAACTTGCCTCTTTTATAGTAAATGACAATAGACCTTGCTTGTCAGTTGTGTAGCCTCCTCCACAACTATAGGCATTTCCACTGAAACCAGTGAACTTAACTAAATGGCGTTTTGTTTTTAGTATCATTGGACAAATCCTTGTTGATACAATGTTCAGAATACTGTTGTGTGTGTGGGGCGGTTGATGATGATGGCAGGCCTTTGTCCTGCACAGTGTGAATGGTTTGGCCTGGGCATCACTTTGGAGGAACCAGGGTGAAAAAAGAAAGATGGTGAAGTTGGTCAACACAGTCTGAATTAAGATAGAGAACGATGATGCATTTATGACCCCAAACTATTTGTAGTTGTAGTTCTGGTACTTAAATACACCAAACTGCATCAAATGTGAGTGATTTAGAGAAAATGAATTCGCAGTTGCATGTAATGAAACTACGGTACCTCTATACAGTAACACCAGGGAAGGTGGGAAAACAAATTTGTAACGAGGCATAAAGGAATCATTTTGGATGCAGTGATGAACTCATATTTGCACGAAGCTTCTAACATTTTAGAACAACTTGTCAGATTATATGTCAATGAAAATCCTTTGAGCTAAACATAAGCTGGTCTCAGATCAGTGGTGCTGTTCTCATGGTTTATGCATATAAACGTTGGCTTGTAATGGTTCCTAATATAACACAGACAGACTTCTACAGTGGTTGTGCTAAAAGTCCTAATCCAGTTGCAGCAATGAACTGTGAGCCCTGCTTGTACCCCAAAGCCTTTTATCTTCAGGAGTGATTCCTGGTCCACTTTAGATAAAGCTTTAATAATTCACCGCAATAAGCTTAGCTAGTTTTATTAGTAATTAGTAGTGCTGGCTTTCCCCGGGCCTGATTCTAGGGATCACTGAGGGAAGCAGATGTTGAAGGCACAGAGCAGCGGCTGTTTGAATTCTCACTGAGCTGCTGCATACTACTTCCAGACCAATTATAATTTTGCTGTAAGCCTAACTGAGGCACATGTGTACAAAACTAACAAACCAGGTCTGTCTACCATGATTTGTTTTGTGCCGCTCACGTTCTAATAAAACTTCTTCATTGGAATTGTAAAAGAGCTACGTACATACATTTTTTGTCGGGCAACCATACGATAATTAGAGATGTTTTTACTGTGCTGCTTATATCCCAAACAACAGTAACACCTTAATGTACCAAAGTGGATGTAATGGCTATCTGGATATGTAATGTGAAATCAATGTGTCCCACAGACAGTGAGCATGGCCCATTTATCAGCTGTCACAATGCTTAATTAAGACAGTTGCTCCCAGTAAACATAGATGAATGAGGCAACACTGTATTAATGTCCCTCTGTGTAGCTCATCACATCCACAGTCATTTAATCAACCATTTCCAGTGGCAGTATTCCCCAGTGCCACTGCCACTTAGTAATACCTAAGAGCTCAGCTGTTAATTTGATTTGTCTCTCACTCACTTAGTCACTATAACAGGCGATGCTGAACATAAAATCTGCAGCATTTGCAGGCTCCCAACAGGAACATTTCTTTACTGCTGTGAACGAGGGAAACATGGCACTCGTCTTCCCACCAGCCTGAGCTGTTCTATCTGTTACACATCGGGTGTCATGCTGCACCGCTCCAGTGGTGAAACCAAATTTTGTTTTAAGTGTAAATCTCAGGTGAGCTTTGTGTAGGATGATTATAATGGAAATGAGAGAGGAGTTTAAGTATGATGAGCAACTGGGGAAATTGCCGTGACAACAAGGGGATCAGCAGAGGGATATCTAATACTTAAATGCCCTGAGAGAGATGAAGAACTGGGAACTTGAAAGCGTGCACTAACACGGGCTTTGGTTTCTTTCTCTCTTGCTGTCCTCCTGCACATGCAGCATCTACGTAAACACAATTTGTTAATTTACGCGGAAGCCGTGTCTCTTAAAAACAGACTGAAAGAATCAGAGATTTTTATATAACAAGACGCTGGGAAAAAAGCAAGGTCTGATGAAGGAGAATCTACAAAAGCTTAATTAAGATTTTCTAATCGGGGCTGCTGTGCTAGAGGCATTTCAGGGCGACTTGAAACAAGATATTATTATGATAATAACTGCAGAGTTATGGAGCTGAAAACACCAGACTTCATTTCAGCAGCACAAGGCAAAGTGACTAGTGGCAAACATTGCAAATTTGTGTGTGGTTCAGCTTCTTCTTCTTCCTTGTCCTGTATGTCCTAAGCAAAAATACAGAGAAGTCCAATGAACCCTATACCTCCTCAGCAGAGATATTACAGTTGTTTATCTGCTTAGTGATACATGCTGTCACTAGTTTTAATGGACATCTAACAGTACAAACAAAAACATGTTTGAAATAATTTTTTATTCTGAAGCTGCTTCGGTATTGATGCTTCGATGGGGTAATATTCAGTGTCTTTAAAGGTCATGCCTGAAACGCAACAGCACAGTACCTCTCCTCTGAAATAGCATAGGTCTCTCTCATTAATTATACAATTCATATAAACACCCTATTCAGTCACCATCTTTTTTTGCATTACCGCTGACAGGTAGGATTGCACGACTGTAATTTATACCTCTGTGGTCTCAGGAGCAAAGGCCATGCATTGCATCATAAGAAAAATACCGTATGTCACACAGAATTTCTATTTATTTTTTATTTTTTTCTACTGTGTTTTTCAAGATTTACACCTGCAGTTAGATTCAGATGCTCGGGAAGAAACAGACTCAAAGTAAATATGACTAATATGGAGATTCTGGAAATAAAATTCTCAGTTAAAATTCAAGCTATCATGTTTATGCTTTAGTTAGCAGGCTAACCAAGGTATTTTAAGTTTTCATAATTAAAGTCCCATTCATTCTTTATTCATCTTGGTCATAATATTTTAATAATCAAATTTAAGGATCATCCTCCACAATATCCTTAAAGTACACACACTAGTCTATCTGCCACTGACATGCTTTATCTCTAGCCTTTTATCTTAGTTCACCAGCAGTTATTGCACTATACATTTTTGCTACATTCTTTTAGTTCTGTCCAAAGTGCATTCAATGCTGAGTAAAACTTTCCATCTATACACCTCAGTTGGGAGATTAACTGCAAAAGCACTGTTACTGGAGAAAAGCTTTCTTTACTTTTAAACAAACTACCTTAAAGAAAACATGTTCATTTTGCATCAAATCTGAATTCTGGCTATGGGGTGAAGTATGTTATAGATATTAAATGGTATGGAATGTGTATTTCTTCTTTCAACTATTATTCTCCTCTTGTTTTTATAGGCATGCTTATATATCTATCTATATATATATGTCAGTTTTACATCTCAAGGACCGTCATGGCTAAATAAAGGGTAAATAAATTATGAAACTATGTTTCTAGTATTGTACAAAGACCATCTGTAAAGACTTTATGTGGCATGTACTGTATATTTGATTTAATGCTGTCAACAAATAGTATTCAGAGATAGTAGAACTTAAATACTGACAGTTGCCTAAGCAGCAGCAAGTCGCACAGTGACTCAGGATGAATCAGACTCGACATCCATCTGTAATGAGCATTATGGAGCCGGCTGCCTGCTTGTCCCGTGGGTAGACATATCTTTTAGAGGCCTGACATAAAGGTAATTGCCACAGTGACCAGAACTAGCCTCTAGAAAGTTATTAAGAAGCCAGTGACATCTGGCTTCTGGATCATCTGAAGAGATGCCGTTAAAATGCATTTGCAGTGAGCAGCCGGCGACATTGTGCTCGGCCGTGATGGGTTCTGGGCCGCAGGCAAGGAATACAGTCTTATTTTGATGGCCAAGATGGAATGTGATGGAATCTCTCTAAACCTGGCACAGCTGACTTGTGTGGCCCCTGATCGTGATCTGAGATTTACTTTCTATTTGTATCTTTTTTGTTTCTCTGTTAGAGCCTCTGCACCATCTTCATTACTGAGTTCCTTGTGTCCGTAGGCAAAAATAATCATTTTTTAAGCCTTCCGTAGTTGATTATTTTTTCCAGCACATAAGGTTCGGATATGTGTCTGGGGAGAATTGTTTTCAGGCATCTTTTTCACAATAAACAAAATGGGCAATTAACCCGCTCAGCAGTGCAAGCAGAGTAGTTCCAATGATGCACTCCACTGTT